TACATACGTGAGTTGGAAAATACACTGTTGCGTATCAGCAATGACGTAATATAACAGCTGTGTCAAAACAGCTATGACATTTGAAAATTGATTACATCCCGTGAAGATCCGGGCTAGCATTGGTCTTCAGCGACCCATGTTTGTCTCTGCCTGTGAAGATCCGGTTTGAATTGGTCTTCAGCAACCCATGCTCGTCTCTACCTGTGAAGATCCGGGTTAGAATTGGTCTTCAGCAACCCATGCTTGTCTCTACCTGTGAAGATCCGGGTTAGAATTGGTCTTCAGCAACCCATGCTTGTCTCTACCTGTGAAGATCCGGGTTAGAATTGGTCTTCAGCAACCCATGCTCGTCTCTACCTGTGAAGATCCGGGATAGAATTGGTCTTCAGCAACCCATGCTTGTCTCTACCTGTGAAGATCCGGGTTAGAATTGGTCTTCAGCAACCCATGCTCGTCTCTACCTGTGAAGATCCGGGATAGAATTGGTCTTCAGCAACCCATGCTTGTCTCTACCTGTGAAGATCCGGGTTAGAATTGGTCTTCAGCAACCCATGCTTGTCTCTACCTGTGAAGATCCGGGTTAGAATTGGTCTTCAGCAACCCATGCTTGTCTCTACCTGTGAAGATCCGGGTTAGAATTGGTCTTCAGCAACCCATGCTTGTCTCTACCTGTGAAGATCCGGGTTAGAATTGGTCTTCAGCAACCAATGCTCGTCTCTACCTGTGAAGATCCGGATTAGAATTGGTCTTCAGCAACCCATGCTCGTCTCTACCTGTGAAGATCCGGGTTAGAATTGGTCTTCAGCAACCCATGCTTGTCTCTACCTGTGAAGATCCGGGTTAGAATTGGTCTTCAGCAACCCATGCTTGTCTCTACCTGTGAAGATCCGGGTTAGAATTGGTCTTCAGCAACCCATGTTTGTCTCTACCTGTGAAGACCCGGGTTAGAATTGGTCTTCAGCAACCCATGCTCGTCATAGCCAGGGAAAACTCCACTCTGCCTCTTTGTTATCCTTATTTTGTTACACCAGTGAAGATCAAGGCTAGAATTGATCTTCAGCAACCCATGCTTGTCGTAGCCAGGGAAAACTCCACTCTGCCTGTTTGTTATCCTTATTTTGTTACACCAGTGAAGATCAAGGCTAGAATTGATCTTCAGCAACCCATGCTTGTCGTATAAGGCGACTAACAGGATCGGGTGGTCAGGCTCACTGACTTGGTTGATACGTGTCATCGTATCCCAATTGCGCAGATCGATGCTCATGCTGTTGATCACTGGATTGTCTGGATCAGACTCGATTACTTACAAACCACCACCATATAGCTGGAATATTTCTGGGTTTAGCCTTAAACAACAAAGAAACAAATAACTGATTACCCTCATAATAACACTTGACGTAGAAGAGAAATCACACTGGTTACATTTTTGTGTTTGTGATATTAAATTTTCCTGTCCAGTAACTGATTTCCTCTTCACATTTTTATGGATCAAATATCTGTCGACATAATCTGGTTTAGTCTCTTCAAAAATGGTTCTGTCATTGTTGGCTATGAGTGAGTGAGTATGGTTTTACGCCGCTTTTAGCAATATTCCAGCAACATCACGGCGAGGGACACCTATCATCCTTGAGGGGAAACACTTTTAAAGCAATACACATAAGCTGCGTCATGTTTTTATGTCCAGGGAATATCAACTGTACCTCTGCCCATTGTGGTACATATGTTTTTTTTAAAATAGGTTTACTTTGTAATTCCAATTTATTACCGGCGCGGTGGAGTAGCCTAGTGGTCAAAGCGTTCAGTTGTTGCGCCAGAGACCCGTGTTCGATTCCACACATAAATGAAATCTGTCATATTGCTACATTCACTCACTCAACCAAAGCTATTACCTCCATTTATAAAGCCTGGCTACATCCATTATTCCATTTGTTCAATTTGCCATGACAGATAGAGGAGAATTGTACATTTATATGGAGAATTTAAGAAGAAGCCCATATCTATGTTCTTTAACATATTTTATTACTGCAATGACAACATGTGATGAAAGTGAAAATATGGAAATGTATCTGACATCATTTTGGTGACGTAAGCATCAATATCCCAGGCGTCACCCATACCACTTGAAATGTTTACTGGCATCCGGCATGCTGACATCCCCGCCATTGGAGCAGTAATGGCGAACATGCACTTTTTTCCAGATGGTTTTGATTTGGATTCCGACTTGAAAAATTTCTTAAAATAGGGAGCATTCCTCGTCCATTCTGTATCTTGATATCATACAAAATCCAGTGTGTTTATCCTTCAGTATTGTTGCCCAAGATAATCAGATATATATGTACAGGGTATGTTTATGTTTCAATCCTTATCAACTGAAAACATGGTACATCACATATAGACATGATGAAAAAGGTTTACCATATCGCACTTCTGTATCTTGAATAATGAATACTTAGATGAATTTTTTTCCTGTTTCAGAACATACATGCAACCATACATATGT